TATGGAAACAACCAAAATGGCCATCAATAGACAACTGGTTAAAGAAATGGTGGTACATTTATACAATGAAGTATTACTCTGCCATAAAAAAGAGTGAAATCTTACCATTTGCAACAACATGGATGGATCTAGAGGATATAATGCTAAGTAAAACAGGTCAGATTGATAAAGACAAATATCATATGATCTTACTTATATGTGGAATCTAAAGAACAAAATAAACACACAAACAAAACAGAAATAGACTCATAGATACAGAGAAGTAACTGATGCTTGCTAGACAGAAGGGGGTTGGGTGGATGGGTGAGGAAGGTTGAAGGGGTTAGGAAGTACAAATTGGTAGTCACAAAATAGTCACAGGGATGTAAAGTACAGTATGGGGAATATAGTCAATAATGTTGTAAAAACGATGGATAGTGTCAGATGGGTACTAGACCTATGGGGGGATCACTTCAAAAATTAAATAAATGCCTAACCACTGTGCTGTACACCTGAAACTCATATAAAGTAATAGTGACTGTCAGCTGTAACTAACATATATGTAGTCTCTTTACTTACAGCACGTGAACCCAGTAGGATGAGAGTGTCAGGCTGTGCAGAAGCCACAAACCAATGGGCAATTCACCTGCACAAGTGCTTCACTGGACCCGTAGAGTGTTTTAAAAAAAATTGAACCAACTTTCTAAAGTCCAATGATTTCACATAAAAATTTACATTTTATGACAATCAAAATACTGATGTAGAAAATAACTCTAGGACCACCTTCATGGCAACATGCAGCCAAAGCTCAGTGGTCCTTCCTCCTTTTGATGAGCCATGGGCTCTTGAGTCCCCACAGACCCCACCACTCTATTACACCCATACTACACACTCAGGCCACTGCAGCTGTACTTTTTCATTAAGTTCATGTTATTGTTTTTCTTATAATAGAGACGTATTTCTCCGAACCCTCTCTCTTTTAACAGATTGAATAACTGGTCTCAATTCTTCACGCCCCCCCCCCTTGCTTCTGCCCCTTCACAATGCTCTCTTCACGGGTCCAGTGTACTTCCCCAATCCTTGACTACTATCAGCCACGCGCCGTGCTTTGGCCAATGAAGTGGGATGAAAACTCACAGTTTAAGACTAGGCCTTAGGAGGCCTTGCCTGTTTTTCTTTTCTCTCTTGTGCATCTGCTACTGCTGTCGAAGTTTCCCTCTGGGTCACTGATGCCCCCTGAGCCTGAGTCTCAGAACAAACACAGAGACACAGAGCCACCCCAGCCGCCCACAGACCTGCAGAGAAGCAGATTCACCACCCAAGCCCACCCTGGAGCAGCTGAGCCACTCAGTCAACCTGAAAACCTATGAGAATAACTACTGATGCTTTCAAGTCACTGAGTTTGGGGGTGATTTGCTACACAGCATTATTATGGAAATCGCTAACTGATGCATTTCGACTGAAAATAAAAAATAAAAGACAGGCTGAAAGAACCCGACATCATAATTTTTCTTACATGCAAACTTGTTTCTTATTTATGTTAATAGCTAAACCCTGAAGGTATTTGAGTTTGCAATTCCTGCCATAAAACTAAAAACTTAAGAACTAAAGAAGGTCAGGTTTGTGAAATGTTTCTTAGCATGACTATATATCTAGGTTTGACTGAAATGACCCAGTTTTTGCCTATTGCTGTTATGTCCTGGTTTGGACAATAAATAACATGGTCACTCTATCTCCATTCAAATATGTCTCCAATTTTCATACGAACTGGTTGAATCTCTTTGATCTCTTTTTGGAACACGATCCAAAAGCCTAAGTTATTGTTGCAGGCAATACCCGACCCAGGGTTTTTCTGGATGTAATAACTATTTGGTTGTTTGAAATCATGGTCGTGTCCAACCATTGCAAAATACTGGTGTAGAAAAACAACATTTCTGTAGGTGCCAATCACACAACTACCAACCAATCAACCAATCAACCAAACAAACAAACAAACAAGCAAACAAAAAAGATCCCAGTTGACTCACACTTAAATGGCTTAACAGTCTGACTTATAAACAGGAAGCACTTAAAACAAGAGCAACATTAAAAAATTAAGTGCCCCCAGAAAGGGAAGTTCTCCTCTCAGAAGGCAGTAATTACTGCATCTGAGTGCATTTGTTTAGCAACGCAGGAAAGTGGGAGTGTCACTCTCTATTAACCTTAACCAGAGACATTTTCATCAAAATTAATCGTGATTACTTTTTATTGCATTTCAAATGCTGTCCTTTATTTGGGGTGGTCAGGAATGCAACTAAGCAATTCCAGACCATGCTATCTTTTATGAACAAGTCTATGAGATAGTTACCAAGACCCCTTATGAAAATATTGCTATACAAAAGTTCATGGGTCAAAACAAGACATTAATTTCCATAACTGCATGTATCCTTAGAAAAGAAAAAAAAATTACTATATATAGAAAATACAGCAACTTTGATGCTCTATGCATGTCAGAGTAGAACTGTAAAAATACCCATGAATATCAGACAACAATTTTTGTTTTGTTTTTAACTTTTTCCTTGTCATTATAATAACAGTTAATGATGAACATTTCAGTATAGCTGGTGCCAAGTACAATTCTAAATTTTTTATATGCATCGACTCTATAACCCTCACAACTCTGGAGTAGATGCAATTATTCCCATTTTACAGATGAAGAAACTAGGCTTAGGGAAGTGAAGTAACCTGCCCAAGGACACTCAGCTAGTAAACTTTGAAGCTTGGAATAAATCCTAAGCATTGTAGCTCCAGGGTCAGTTAAATAACACTTAACGCACTGCCACAATGGTCAATTGGTCTGTTACGTTTTGTGCCCTGACTGCACCTTGCTCTGTACTACAACCTCTGCACCTTTGCTGATAGCTCTCCTGCCTGGAGGGCCTCCCCTGCTGTTCTGTCCCTCCCATATCAAACCCAGTCAGCTCCAACCCCACTGGTGCCATGAAGACTCTGCCACTCAGGTTTCCTTGCCTTCCTCTAAAATCTCCAGAACTCTCAGTATATCCATAATCTACCTCATCTGACACAGTTGTGGAAAAAACAGAGGCAGTCTTACCTGCCTAGCACCTCTTGGTAACAGAACCCCACTCTTTCCTGTGGGAGTTCCCATCCCCACTCTCAGCCTTTGGACTTGGAGTAAGGCTAACCCCCTTCCTGGAGGTTCCAAGTGCTCACGTCACCTGATCCTGGCCTGGCCAATTCATGCAATCTATCAGCCTTTGAAGTTTTTTTAGAAATACTAAGAAAGAACACTCTCCTGGGATGACTGCACTCATATTATAGAATGTTGGTTGGCTGGTGGTGGCCATTTTTGGCATTGCTTGGACATCAAGGCAACACGAGAGAAGCACGCCTGTGAGTAGGATGCAGACAGATTCCTGATCCACTGTTTGAATATGTGAATGTAGTCAAGTCTGAAATCCACCCTTAGCCTTTTCAGTTAAATGAGCCCACGGATTCCCTTTGCTGCTTAGTTCAAATTGAGTTGTGTTCCTATTTTTGCAACTAAGTGCCCCCCACTAACTTAGCTGACGTTAGAATTAAAGAGCTGCTATAAAGTACATCACACAGTACCCAGCATATTGAAAAGTTTAATAAATGGTACCTACTATTGTTATTGTTTCTCTACAATAGTTTCTTGAAAGCAAAAGGCCTGGAGTCACCTCCATCTCCACTCCGTACTCAAATGTCACTTCATAACTTTTTCTGCGGCTAGTTTTACCATATGTAAAATCACCAACATTTTTGCGAATAAATGAGAATCTATGTCTGGCATGGCAATGAAATGTTCTACAAATTTAGGTTATTAGTATTATCTCAGTCTGTAGGATCCAATCTAACATCTCATATGGCTGATGGGGAAACTAAGATCCAAAGCCCCTGGGATGTGATTTGCCAAGAATACTGAGGAAGCTGTGGATTCAAAAAAGCTACCCGTCCATACTGAGGTGGTCCCCAGGACTGAACACAGGACTTGACATGAGTATTGTGCTATCCAAATCAGTCATCAAGGCAAGGAGGCTTGACTGACAGCATTAAGGCACCTCCAGGACACGAGAAAAAAGAAACTTATATTAACTAAGTAATCCCCATGCGCCATTTCTGCACAAGGCATTTCCTTGTATTTCCTACTCTGGAATAATTATTTATTTCTCTTTTGAACAATTAAAAAGATAAACTATGAGTGCATATTGAAATTATCTAACTTCTTCTATCTCCAAGGAGGAAACCTAATATATAACTGGAGAAAGATACTAATTAATAAGCAAAATTTAACATGAACGCTGGCCAACTTGAACTTGAACTGCTCTGTTTAAAGGCACACTGGAATAAATAAAGGAACTTCAAAGCAAATGCCCTGTTTTCGTTTGAATGTTTTATTGAGCACATGGGGAGAGCTCCTTTGCCAAAAATAGGTTAATGAGGAAAAATTGGGGTTTTCAGTTGGTCCACTGGTTTCTGAGAGCCATCCATTCAGAGATAACTATATTCCACAGAAAAAAACAGAATAAGGATGTGTCTTAGAGCCTTAGAGTTTTGAAATAAAACAAAGCCAGTTTTGTAACCTGTCTGAGATCAGCTTAATGCATCCTTTTTCAAATACCTTGATAGGTGATAATGCACACACACATTTTCCTTCTACTAACCCCAACACAACTTCAATATAATTCTAACAGGAAGACATTTCTATGTTTTAAGTTTTTTGTCAACTATATAAACGCAGCCCTTACCTTTGAAGATGAGGTACGGGAAGCAAGTGACTCCGTGAAGCATTAGTGTTCTCCGCTATAATCAGCTTTTCCTAGGCACCATTTTGAAAATGATGCTCTGCACCTGGAAAGACCTACTGGGCTACCTGGGAGTGCTGGACTCAGAGCAAAAGCAAGGCCACCGCTTCTGTGCATGTTTTCCCACAGTAGTTAGTACATTTCAGAAATAGTCAATCTTTAATTACTGAGAGATTAGGAGAAGCCTGGGCTCACCTGCAAGTGCTGTGAGTTGTCGGCCATGCTGTCTTCCCGCCTGCGGACTTCTTCCAGTAACTGAGCATTCTTCTTCTTTTCCAACTGTTGATTGTGCTTGAGGTTGGCCACCTTCTTATTCTGATCCTTCATATGCCTGAGAAAAGTCAGCACAGCTTCGTTAATTTCAGCCACTGAAAGACCATGTTATCACAATAAAAGCGCTAAGTATAGACTATACTGATATGGGATCAGAAAAAGTTGGGACTTTGGAATATTCCATGCATCCAACCACAGACATGTATTGAGCACCCACTTCACGCCAGGTACCAGGATGGCACTGGGGCTGCAGTCGTGAATGAGACAGGAGTCGTCTTCACCCTCTGCATGAAGCCTGGAATCCAGTAGGGGAGACAGACAAGTACTAAGGAGTCACAATTTAGGTTTGCTAATGTTGAAGGAAATAAATAGCATGCTGGGGGAGATTATGGTATGTACTGCATCTGTGGACAGGCAGTGTGGGGGGGAGATGGCTTTAGTCACTGTGAGCAGGGAAACCTCCGTAAGGAAGCAAGGCTGTGGGTGAGACTCGAAGGAGCCAGCCAAGAAAACACCAGTGAAGGAGCTCCCCAGGTAGAGAGAACAGCAAGAATAATTCCCAAGGCAGGAAAGAGCCTGGCTACTTCTCGGAACTGGAAGGCTGCAGTGAGGCCACCCCAAAGTGAGAGGCACAGTGGGCGGGGGAGGGGGACAGGAGATGGAGCTGCAAAGGTGGGCAGGACTCAGGGTACACAGAGCCCTGTGGTCTGTGATGGGACTTATTTTCTTCTAAGTGGTTGCTGTTCTAATTATTATTATTCTTTTGGATCATGTTCCTATTCTGAGATCATAATCCATTACTTTGATTTAAAAATAACAATTACAAGGCTCCAATCAAATACATTGTCATCGCTTAGCTCAAACACAATCACACTTTGGCTAATCATCATGTTAAATAAAGCCCCAATGCTTGGAATAAAAGTTCTTAATGAATCTATAGGATGTCAGAGTGCAAAATCATCAAGTGATCAAGTGAGCAAAAGACTAAGGATAAAGGACAGGTTTTGGAAAAAAAAAGAAAAATGCAGGGGAGCGGGGAGTTACAGGCTTAATGTGGACTATTTCACTAGCAGCCTTTAGCAAAACATTCCACAGATTTAGGCAACCATGTCCACAGCAGCTGTTATAAATCTAATCTAACATGTGAGGAGGCGAGAGGGCAGTACCGGGGGCTCGGGAGCAGTGAGTCCAAAGGCAGAGAGCTGTGGAGAAGAATCATTTGGGGTCCCTTCTCATCCCTTCAACCCCTTTCCCCAGCATTGTTAAGTCAGCCATTGTTACTGAGGCCTAAGTCCCAAAACACGCTTATTGAGAATCACTGCTCTTGGGAAAGTAGGAATAGGAATGAGATGAGAACTAGATGATAAATCACAAACGTGTCAAAATGAAACTACGAATAATCAAATGGAAGCCTCTCTCAACAAGGAACTCTTAGTTCTAGTCCTCATTAAATTACATACTCCTCTCCTCTCTCCCACGCCAAGATAAAGAAGTTCAAGAGAATTGTTTATTAAGCTGAAAAATCTTCTATTAGGAACCCTGCTAATCAAAGTATTCCGAACATTTTGGCCCTATAAATATTTACGGAACCAACTAAAGCAGTGATTTAAATATTCCTGGAGACACTTATTAAGAGAATATAAGGTAAGATAGAATCACCATCTCCTTAGTCATTATTTGGATTGGGTCATGCTGGTCTGCTATTTCCCTGCTTGTACCAGATACAGTAAACTTATGAAACTACCAACAAAGCCTGCTTACTAATCTGCTTTTAGGAAAGTATCTTTTGATTACTAGAAAGACGTTAACAATGACCTCTTCCTTTCTAATTGAACAAAGATATCGTAGTTCCAAAGCTCATACTAACCCAAGGCAAGCACATTTTCCAGTTCCTTAGGAAATAAGAACAGTGCTCAGTATTACTAGTGACATTGTTTAATTAGAGGGCATTTTTATAAAGACGTACTTCTTTATTACTTTGAAGCACACCCTTAAATAGAACTAACTGATAAACATCCTCCCCCAAGTACTAGAGATAAATGACAATAGATTATTGCAAACATCATTTGCATAATTAAACTCCCACAAAGTTCTCAAAACAGACCTTACTTTCTAGGATACTATACTAGTTTTTCAATACAAAAAACCCCAAAAAACCCACACAAAAAAACCAAACCAAATCCATGCTTCCCTAAAACTTTCCTGAATTAAGAATGAGTAGCTAAGAAAAATGGGAAACGAAGTTCAGACACTGTGATGGAGGCCTGTCTTCAGCATTCTCCAGCCATTCCTTCAATTCTGCCTTATTTAGGATACCAGAGATTGGAAAAGAAAAGCTGGCTTTGTATGGCGCTGCTTAGGATTTGGGCCAATAAGATTGATGCAGAGCAAGGTGATGAAAGTGATCATCTTGTCTTGAGACATGTGAACATCAAGAGACACTTACAAAAGTGTACATACTCCTTTGCAGGGTTGCCATGGTTTTCAACTATAGTTCTAGCAGAACTCTTTCTTCTAGGAAAGACCAAATGGGTTCCCTGGGAAAGCCAAAAGGGAAAGAGCTGCTCTGCCAGAGGCAGGAAAGACGCGAGGAGTGGATTGGGAACAGGTGAGCACCTCATCCACACTGGGCAACCCTCTCTCAGGTGCCCCTCAGGGAAGCCTGCCTAAGGCTACCTGGATGAAGCACAGGTTGAAACAGTAATTTATAGAGTAGGAGAGAAGGGGAGGCAGGTAGAGAAGTCAGGAAATTAAAAAACACAGTAAAACCTTGGCTTGCAAGTGATGTGGTTTGCAAGTGTTCCGCATGGCGAGCAAACATTTCTAATACATTTTAACATATGTTAAAATGTTAATGAGCGATGTCTTGCAATACGAGTAGTTTGTTTCCGGAATGAATTATGCTTGCAAACCAAGGTATTACTGTATTAGATCCCTTGGAGAAGAGAAAATGCCCCCACAGAAACTCATTAGACAATTGTAGAAGAAATGACCACAGTGATTTTTGCTAGTAATAACTTGAACATTTCCGAGAATAAAATCTGTAAGTGCCCTATCAGTCCCCATACCTTTCCCCACTGCAGTAGTAAACCCACACTGCATAAATCATGCTAAACTCTGCACAGCTCACAACTGTCTCTAAACTTAGGAAGGTAGAGCCTCTGGAGGTGCAGGCTGCAAAGTCCTCTGACAATACTGCCTGAGAAGAATACGTCTTTGCTATCGCTTCCCAAACTCCCACCCATCAAGAGACTCAGATTCTAAGGCTCCACCAGAGACTGGCCAGCTCCATGTCCAGAAAAAAAGTTTCTTTGGGATGATTTTTTTCTCGATGAAAAATATACCCAGGATGCAATTTTTTAAAAAAAGCAATCACAGGTGTGGGGGTGCAGTTTGAGAGTACAGTGGTATGGTCACTTTTTTAATATTCGACTTATATTGACCAGTCTCGTTAAGCAAGTCATGTCACTTTTCAAATTCAGCCATCATTAAGGAATTTGGATTAACTACAAAATTCCAGCAGGTGTCAAGATCAACAGTAGCTACCATTTTAGGAATGAATGTCAGAGAGGACAGAATCCTGCTATTTTCACATGAATAGTCATCAAAATAAAGTTAGAAAGTATTCTCTAATTTGCTGGTGAGGACACATCAGGCTTCAAGGCCTCTGGGATTACATGGACAGAAGATGTATGTTCCCCAAGGGCATGTGCTTATTTGTATTTAAAAGAGAAAATCAGAACTTCTCTTCCTTTAAATCTTAGCAGAAATAAAATACCATTTTTACCCATCTGCTCTCAAAAACTTTAAGAGATTAATAATATCCATTGTTAGAGAAGATGCGGGAATCCAGTTATGTGGTCAGGAAGAGCGTAACTGACGAAAGCATTTTAGAAACCAATTTGGCAGTTTCCACCAAAGTGTACATACCTTTTGCCCAAGCAAACCCACTTCTAGGAATGCAGCCTACAAAAATGCTTGCACATGTGCACAAATATATGTATATAGATGTACAAAAATTTTCACTGCAGCACTGTAAAAGTGGAAGTTTGAAAGCCACCTTATTGTCCATTAGAGGGAAACTGGCTGAAGAAAGCAAGCACATGCATACTATGGAACCCTAAGCTAGCTAAGAAGATTAAAGCAAAGCTAAAATATGGACATGGAAAAATCTGCAAGATATATTGTTAATCAAAGAAGAAAGCAGGTAGCAGGATAATACATATAGTCAGATCTTGTTTCTCTTAAAATACAGAAGCTGCTTGGATGAATTACACGCACGCATGGAAATGGAAGCGCCCGCATGCCCCACGCCAGTGTGCAAACAATCGTTACCGCTGAGGAAGTGTAGGGGGTTGGGGAGCAAGGGGGGACTTCCACACGTTACTGTGTGCATTTGCGTGTGCAAGTGAGGCATAAATACATATAAGAAAATGCACAGATAGGAAGTGTACAAGTCAATGATGTTGGACCATCAAAATACAGGGCGTTGCCATCGCCCAGCCTTGCGTCTCCTCCCCATGCCCAGGTGTTGTCACTATTTTAACTTTTATCTACATAGATCCTTTTTCAGTGTTCTTGAACTTTATACACATGGAATCGTACAGCACATGTTCTTTTGTGCCTGACTTCTTTGACTCAGCATAAGATTTTTGAGATTCATCCACATTGTTGTATGTAAATTCCATCTTATTGCTGAGTAGCATTCCATTATATGAATATACTATAATACAATTTGATTAGCTATTCCCTTTTTAAATGGTTATTTGGGGTGTCTCCAATTTTTTACTGTTAAGAATAGGTCTCAATGAACATTCTTGCAGCAGCTTTGTGTGTGTGTATGTGTCCATATGTTTCATTTCCCTTGGATAAATAACTAGATGTAGCTTTAACTGGCAATGTTAAATGGTGCAGCCCCCATGGAAGACAATTTCTGGGCTATATGACAGGTGTAGCTGCAGTGCAGGGGCTTGTAGTATAAACTCTGGAGCCAGGCTGCCTGGGCTCCCATCAGAAGTCTACTACTTTGTAGCTGTGTGACTGTGCGCAGGTTTCTTA